GACTATGGGTAGATTTCTGCATCAACGGTGTGCCTGTCATGTTTTAAATTTATGTGTTCAACAGGGACTACAAGCTATGGGCGGAGTTTTGACAAATATTAAAGAAGGAATTAAAAAAATTTGGGGGGCTCGTCTTATTTCGAGATCCTGGAAGATGTTCTGTAAGTCTAAGGGTAAAAAAGAAATAAGTTTTGCCAGAGATATCAACATTAGATGGAATAGTACTTACAAATTGATTGCACAGATCCTAAGATATAAAGAGGAACTTGCTGAATTTTTTAGGGATGAACTTCGTATAATCATTAATCCTTTTGAATTTGTTATTGTTAAAAAATTGAATGCCGTATTAGAAGTTTTTAATAACGCAACTCTTACTTTTTGCCATGTTTACCAACCAACTACAAATACATTTTTTAAAGAGTGCATTACAATCGCAACATGTTTTCGTGAAAGTATGGCTGATCCAGATTTGTACCCTTATGTCTCTTTTGAGAGATAAATGGTGTACTTAGTATTTGTACATTCCTGATATTTATAAAATAGGTATTATTTGTGATCCACGATTTAAGATTGAAAATTTTAAAATTCTAATTGAGTATTACTACAATTGTTTTTTAGATAAAAATAGTTATTACTACAGCTATTTAGTAGAATGGAAAAATGAAAGAGATAATGCTATAACTCTTTTTGAGAATTTGTTTAAGGAATATCAAGGGTTATACGGTACTGTACAAAAAGAAACAGCACCACCTCCGCCCCGAAATCAAAAAAAGGTTTTGTCGGCATAGTCAGTGGGCTTCTTGCAAAGAAAGGGAAACGTGCCCAGTCTTCGACGAGTTCAAGTGGTACAACAGTAAGCTTGCACAAAGAACTTGCTATGTACCAGGGTGTGCCATGCGATTACGATGACGACGATGTCGATTTTGACGTGCTCGGATGGTAGAAGCGGAACGAACACATGTTCCCATGTCTCGGCATGCTAGCAAGACAAGTGTTGTCCGTCCCAGTATCAACCGTAGCAGTTGAACGAGAATTCAGTGCTGGCGGCAACATTCTAACCGACTACCGAAGTTGTCTTAACGCTGAATCTCTTGAAACACTGGTTTGCAACCAAAATTGGCTCTTGGCAAGACGTCGGGCTCAAGAGTTATCGTACCAACTCGAATCGGAGCATTACATGAATGCTGATGGGAAATAATACGTGGCTCGGCCCACATTTCCCAATTATTTACGAAGGACAGTCAAATCGGGCCTGTTTAATAAAGTGGAGGAATAATAGAATATTCCTCCGTAGATGCTCCAGCTACTCCTATAAAAGGAGGGCTCCCCCTCAATGTGAAAGGAGGCCAAAAAATTCACTCTCCCTGATCATTACACTTTCTCTCTCTAGAAAGTTTTAGTATGTGTATTTTCTTCTTCTTCAAGAGCTCAAAAGCTCCATTAATGGCTTCCTAGCCTAAATTATGTACCATATACACACCCCCGATATTAATAAAAATTCCCCGTTGGCAAGGTACCGCCAAAAAAGGCTCGTGGTTTTCTCCCGATTTGGGTTTCCATGTCAAAATCTCCGTGTTTATATTTTGGTGAATTTTTAGATTAGTTTATCGTTTTTGCCTGGCTAAAAACGATATAACGGTCGATAATTTACACCATCAAATGCAACCACAGATGGAAGTCCGAGTTCTGAATAATAAGTTCTAAATTTTTTTTATGTTAATGTAAATATGTAATTAATTTTTTTAGGTGAGCGATATATAAGCTCCTTCGAGGGTTTCTTTACGGTTCTTTACCTCGTCGCTTTTTTTGAACCGTCAGGATATTAAATGTGGTTGTTCTTCAGTTAGTGTATTACTCATTTTCAATATTTAAATAACTACATTTTTAGATTTTTTATTTCATTCTTTCCTTAAACAGTTGCAAATTTATAATTTTATACTTTAAAAATTTAAAAAAAAAAGCAAAAAAAAATAGGGGGGCGAACCGGGCCGGTCCGGTACCGGAACCGCCGGTCCGGTAACATTTCCGGTTACTTGGGGTGGCGGTATCGGAACCGGCGGTTCCGGAACCGGAACCGTCCCGGAATCGTACCGTGTCCACCCCCAGATCTAAACTTTATTCGTTTGATTACACATCTATTATTTATAATAGATACAAGACTATGACCTAATTACTAATTAATTACTAATGTAAAAAATGAACACATTTTGCTCTCTCTTGGCCGTCTCCCCTTATTTTCTCTAGATGCTTCGCCCACGCATTAGCTGACGCTCTTTCCTCCTTCAAATGCCTTCAAATACCCTGGGTAAATTTCCAAATTCTCCGTTGAATTATCCTACCCCGGGAGAAGTTTGGTCATTCGCATTCGTTCTTTCCAGCCAATTTACAATAGTTGAGGTAACATTTTCATCAGATTTGAAATTTGAATTGCTTGTTTGCTGAATTTGAACCGGCAGTTTAGCTATTTGGGCTTAGATTGTCTTAAATTTATGTTTTTTATTGCATTTCTTTTTTAACTTTCTATGAGGGTTACATAACTGGACATGAACTATTGAACTTGATTGTTTTTACAATAGATATAGAAGTTGAGAAATGGTCTATGATTAGGTTGAGGTAGCATTATTCGTGGCCATGAATTTCTTCTGAAGAAGGAATCTTCTCTGTGTGTCATTTGATTGGATCTTCAATTGTTTCAATGATCACAGTGAATTTCAGAGGATTCTTGAATTTTCTGGGGAAGTCAACTGTTTACTTCAGACTCCTTAATCCATATTATGGAAAATGGGGCAATTTTAAACATTAATCTTTTGTTTGCACTGTGATCAGTGTTGCAAAATTGTAGATGCGAACAAATTTAACTCCCCTTTGGGGACTTATTCTATGATTTGTCTCAGAACTAACAATCTTCTCATTCTTTTGGTTAAGCAGGTTCCTTATGGATCAACAAGATCAGGCAATTGAATTTTCTGTTACATGGAGAGGCAAGAAGTTTATTCTCAAAATGGATCCCAAAACTACCCTTAAAGCATTGGGTGATGAAATGCATCAGCTCACAAGTGTTGAAGATGATACTATGCGAATAATTGTGCCCACTGATAAAAGTTCAAAGCTGATTTATCCGTTTTCTAAGGAGCACTCCTGGTTGAAATTGGATGAGGCGTCGATTCTTGAGGTGCTGGGTTTTATTTCCTACCTCAATTCGTCAATCTTATGTATAAGGTCTTAAGTGAAATACTGGGGAGCGTGTCATGGGATCTGAATTATTGAGATATATCATATGCACCATTTGGAAAATTTTCTGGGTCTTTTCCCTTTCCTGTTGGATTTTAACTTGCTGGGCAAGCTTCTGTTGTTGCTTTTCCTCAAAAGACTGTTCCTTTACACTATGTTTGGTTCAAGGATTTTGGAAGTAGAAGGAGAAGAAAATGCTTTTCTCTCATTTTCCTCACCAAAATTAGAGGAATTTGGTTTTCCCTCTACTTAGTACATTTGTCTTCTCGTTTTGTTATCCTTAGCACTTTTCCTCTCCAACCAAACTTGAAAAACTGTTTTCCACTTCATTTTCTTTTCTTTTCCATTTCAAATTCCTTGAACCAAACATAGTGTTAATATGCCAGAGCAATGGTTATTTCAACCATAAGTTTGCTTCTCTGCATAACATGGATTTTAGTCATTTTACAAATTTTGCCATTAACAAGTGTCCTCAATTCCTGCACCGAAATTAATTTCTACCAGTGCTTTGGTTCTCCCTATTACATAGGGAGATTCCATGGACATACTAAAGCTTCTCTTCAAGGTTTATTTAGGATGTTTACTAGATCATGCTATTCTGAAATATTTTACTCCAGGGAAAATCTATTAGGATGTTGGGAGTTCCTAAAGGTGAGATGGATGAAGTCTTAGAAAAAGAAAAGGAAGACCTCAGAATTGTTGGTTTTGAAGAAGAAGAAAAGAGACTGAGGCAGAGATCATCCTACCAGGCCTCCATTAGACTTCCACAGGGGCATTATATCTTCTGTGGTTTTAAAACACTCCATCTTCCAGGAATTGAGGTATTTCTTGCTCAGATAAAAGTTCTCTCTCGGATTCTCACATTCTTTTTTCATGTTTAATGAACTATTGTGCTGGTGTGTTGTTTTATGAACCACACAATAAATGTTAGTCTTTCTCACATTCTTCTACAATATTTTCATGTTCTCTTATCAAATGAATGTATCATAAATTACCTTCATATATGAGTTAAGTCGTGGTCATATAAAATATGGAGTGATAATACTAATTCACATATACACATAATTTCTCGTGACATGTTTTTGCAAATTTAGAATAGCTTAAATTAGCCATTGTTTTCACACTGGTTTTCAAGGCGTTAAATTGAATATTTTAAAAAACATTTTAGATATTTGTATATGCGAGGGTTTCATAAAAGTATAGAACTGTCATTGCCTGAAGTGATTGAACGGGTAACATACTTTCAGCTAATTGATTGCTGACCTAGTCTTGGATTGACTGCAGCTTAATCCTCCAGCGTCTGAAGCCTTGAAACTAATGCATAAGCTTTCTGCAGATCCAGGAATTGTTGCCGTTATGAATAAGGTAATAGCATGTGTTTAATTTTTTGAACTTTTAACAATTTATCATAGCATGCTGAATATTAGACACACATGGTTTTAAATTATCTTTTGGGATTTTTAAAGCATCGCTGGCGCGTGGGAATCATGACAGAGATGGCTCCTATTGGATATGTTGGGGTGAGCCCAAAATGTTTACTTGGTTTGAACAAGGTGAAGATATAAGTTTTATAACTTTTGTCCATATGGTTTTTGTTTTTTCCTTATTACGGAGTATTTATTTCTGTCCTAAAAAATTGCATATAGAATCAAGGAGAAGAGATTTCATTACGCCTTCGCACAGATGACCTTAGGGGTTTTAGGAAGTACCAGAGCATCAAGAAGACCCTCTTGCATGAACTTGTAAGTACATATTTCAATTCCATCGGTTGTTCACTTGTCAGGGTTAAAAAGAAGCAAAGCAAAACTATTTATCTAAGCTTGCAAGTGCCCGCCTTAGCTCATGTAGTTTTCCAAAAATATAATCAAGAAACTGTCTCAAAAAGAAATCTTTTTTGGTGACTCCTTAAGTTCAGTGCAAGAGATTCTTACCTTATATTTACCTTTCTTTTCAGGCGCACATGGTGCATACTGAACACGATACAAACTTTTACTCTTTGGATAAGCAGGTGCTTATCTGCAATGTTTATCATTCATTCTCTTGTTATGTGCTGGCTAGGTCTACTTCATTGTGATAACTTACCAGCAGGAATGGTTATATCTATGTTCCATATATTAGTTCATCATACTAGTTTTAACTTCCAAGGACTCATAAGTAGAGCATTTACTTTTTTGTTTCTTTACTCTGAGAAAATTATTATGAACAACAAATTCTTGCAGCTCAATGAGGAAGCTGCTACTCTAGATTGGACTAAATCAACAAGCCACACCCTGAGTGGTTTGCAAAACTTGCAAAACTATGAAGATGATGTGTTCAATGATTCTGTTCTTTCACCACAAAAATTGGGTGGGAAGTCTTTGTCTTCTGATGCACGTGTGTCTTCAGTGGCTGCTGCCATTCACCGTTTTGCCACCAATCGCACTACATTAACTGAGGAATCAAATCACATGGATGTTGAACAAGAAAACGAACAGACCAAAACAAAGTTAGATTTTCAGCAGGAAAACACTAGGATTCTCCCTCCATTGGATGCAGATAGTGTTGAAGGAAGGCAAGAGAATCAAGTCTGCAATGCTTCCGGTCCAGATGAATCTCAGGACAAAAGTGTCAGGCTGACAGAATGTGCAACTCTAAGTACAGGTCCATGCACTCAAACTGATGAGCCTGATCCCGATGACCAGGAATTGCTGCGGATACAAGACCCTGTGAACATGGTTTGCAGCAATTTGCGTAGAGCAGTTGAAGAACTAAAAGCTCAAGCTAGTCCCTCAGATGCTGTTAGAGTACTGCAAACTTTGATTAGAATCATCAAGTAAACCATCAAAAACTTCATCTTATTCCCATTTTTACACATTATTAAGGGTATATTTGAATCCCGACACACAATGAGGAAAGGACAAAAAAAGCTAAGCTATTTTCTTATACAGAGTATTCGGTTTTGCCTTAGAGATATGATTATTATTATTTTTCACTTTACAAGTATAAAATAAAATGATCGATCTTGAATAAATCAATAAAAAGAGTTTGATCAAATATCTAAAATATATTTATCGAGCTTGAATCTATGTTGTATTTTCCCTCAGTTTTCTTTCACTTGAGTTTTCTGGGGTCCAGACAGAAAGAATACAAATTGGAAAGTGTTTTTGATGAATTCTAACACAGGCATCTGACCTGATTGTTTGCACTTTGCAGGAATGTGATTGAACATCGGGATGAAGAGAAATTCAAAAAGCTAAGGAAGGTACATAAAATTTGTAAACACACGAATAATAAGGATCTTGTGCTTGTTTCCAGAAATATTTATTACTCTGTATCTTCTTGCATTACGGTGCAGGCTAATCCTATAATCAAGAGAGATGTGTTGCACTATAAAGGTACGCAGATTGCATGGCATTCCAATTATTTCTTCCGCTTTCATTTTCTGCTTTTCTTCGTCTCCCAAGGAAAAATTCCCGAAGGAGAGTCACATTTGTCTGACTGAATTGATCATGTTTGTCTTGTTTGTTAGTACTTATTTTGACAAACGAACATTGAAACCTTATCATATGCAGTGGATGACCTTTTGGGACAAGAAACATTTGAAATGAACACTTTTTGAACGTATGGGTTAATATGAGCGTACCCTTAACAAGCGTAAGTTGTGGAATCCCTTATTTTTTTCCTATTGTGACTACATACTGCAGTAGCCATTGACGTCCTAGTTTTGATTGGATTCAAAGAGGAAAGTTTAATCGACGAAATGGGGAGAAGAGAGGATTTCTTTGTCCTAAGAAGAAACGATCCGGGCCTGCTGTGGCTTGCCAAGTCGTCCCTTGATGCATATATTGTATAGGTTGCACCAATTAAGCGTCTGAATTGTACTCTCTCTCTCTCTCTCTACATTATCATGTTAGCAAATAATGTGAAAGGTATAAAATGTGATGCTTGTAATGTGTATTGTCAATGGGGGGTGATTGTTGGTTGAGGAACTAACTGTATACACACAAACATTTATCTATATGTATATGATATGAAATAAATGCAGTCCTAATCAGGATGATCACCACGAAGTGAAGCCAATTAGGTGTTTAACACTATGTTTGGTTCAAGGAATTTAGAAAAAAAAAGGGAATTCCGAGAGCCCTTAAGCTTGAAGCTATCCTGAAGGAGGAATCCGAGTTGTAAGCGAGTTGTAAGTAAAATAAGGAAGATTGTTCATCAGCGCTTTCAGTAACTATTAGTAACTAAAATGCGTAATCAAGCTAATCTCATTCCTTAGGACCTGGAGCAACCAGACACCAGCCAGGTAAGGTAAGGAGCCTTTCAAGGCAATAGTTAGATTCTTCTCCTCCGGGCTATCGACTTGAGATGCTTGCCGAAGGGCTATCTGATCCGATCAACTGCCTAAGCCGTAGCGCGCGTACTCTTCTTCTATGAGCGAGACTCTATCCAGATCTGCCACTCGTTGGGCGACGCCTTCTTTTCTATGAGCAGCCCACCACTGAATGATGAACTTTCCAGTTTTCGCCTCCGACCCGAGAAAAGACACGGTCAAGCCAAGCCCTTACCCGCCTGAATGGTGGTGTCTGGTTGGAGGAAAAATATTTTCCCGGAAAATTTCTGTTCTAATTTCCTCTGTTTGGTAATTTAAATGATAGGAAAATATTTTTTCTCTACATGAACAAGGAGAATACTTTCCATTCGATTTCAAAGGAAAATTTCTATTCCCTCTCCGCCTTCATCCCACCCCACTCCTGTCCACCACACCCCTGCCCCGTCCACCCTCACCCCGACATGTCTGCCCCCCACTGCCCCACCCCCGCACCACACCCAATCTTGTCCCATCCCCACTCCCACCCACCCCCATTGGCAAATAAAATATGGAGAGAAAATAATTTCATTCATTTTCTGAATTAAAATAGAAGGATTTTTCTTTCTTTCTCTTACACTATGTTTGGTTCAAGGAATTTGAGAGGGAAAGGAAAAGAAAATGAGAAGGAAAATATTTTTTCTTGTTTGGTTAGAGAGGAAATGAAAAGAAAAGTGGAAGGAAAAGAAAATGAGAAAGCAAAATGTATTAAGAGGATGGAAAACCAAATTCCTCCCATTTTGGTGAGGAAACTAATGGAAAATCATTTTCTTTTCTTTTCCTTCCAAATTCCATGAACCAAACATAGTGTTAGTATATTTTACTTTCTTATTTGCTTTTTCTTTCTATTTTTCTTTTCTACTTTACTTTTCTCTCTTTAATTAAGAAAAATTGTTTTTCATCTTATTTTCTTTTGTTTTTGCTTTCAGATTCCTTGAACCAAACATAATATAAATATTACCTCATTAGCGATATAGCTACTTTTTTATATACTACTATATGTTATTGTTAATTACTCCGCAATCAATTAGATATTATTGTGAATGTATCAAGATGTCCTTTTGGTGCATGTAATAATTTACTTGTTGTAAGATGTAGGCGATTCAACAAAGCAAAAGAAAGGAATTATGGTTAAGATATTTAATTAAGCAATGCAATTAATTAGATCATATTTTAAAATAAAAATATGACTAGCTATCTTATTTGAAGAAATGGACTAATGTTGTAGTCTTATTATTCCAAGAAAATTTCACATTTTTATGTCAATGAAGAAGTGATTTTACAACTCTGGTCATGGAAGACAACTAGAAAAGGAGTAATGGCAATATGGACACAAACTTTAATTTAACCAAATAAATGGTATTCAATTAATTATTAGTGTCCAAGAACAAAGACTTCCGGCGTGAACTCTTCAACCTCCGCCCCCGCGCCTTGTGCCGCCGGATCATTTTCACCGGCAACAGCCCCACCACCGGCGGCTTCCGCCGAGGAACCCTGAGGGGAAGCGTTCCCTTGCGCATGCGATTTGTCGACGAAGACAGAGCAAACAAGTAGTGTCATGACTAATGTCACAAGAATTTGTCTTGAAATGTCCATTTTTTGTTGGGGTTATGGGGTATGCCTATGAAAAGAATGGGTTTTTTTTTTGTATATATGTATTTATATGTATACACACTTTTTGTGCTATTGTTTTAGGGGGGAGAGGAAGAGAGGGAATTTATAGGGAATTCTTGTGGATGGTTTGGCCTCTAATTTTGCATGGTTGAGCTTTTCTTGAGGCTATGTTTTTGGGCTTGTGTGGATATCATCATGATTTCTACCATCTAAAGCCATCATTGACATGTATGGAGTCTCATATTCTGTCCGTCCTAAATAATAGTTATTTTTAATTTATATGACCAAATTATACTCAATTTTGACATATTTTTATTGACTATTTGATAAAAAAAATATTATTATCACCACTTATTTTTTAGATTTTTTAAAATAGTTTTTAAATACATGTAAGTTTTAGTTATTAATTCTACACCAATATCTATATAAATTGAATTAAAAATAATTTCTGTCAAATATCGTACTCGTAATCCGAAATGAGAACATTATTTTAAGACAAGGAAATATATATTTTGCTAATTTGGATATTCTAAAACTGAAATTTTGGTGATAAGAAAAGCACCATGTCTTTCTACAAAATTTACTATTCTCATATTCTTATTGATCATTTATTAAAATATTACTTTTTTCATTTGAGATTAAGATTTCTGTTTATTATTAACAGAGTCACACTTCATTCATTTTTTCTCTAGTCAATTATTTAATTAGATAATACTCATGTCACGTAATTTTTAAATATATACGGAGTAATTTTTTTCCCACCCCAATGGTCAAATAAATTATTCTTAAAATAATTTCATTTCAACATCGTAAATTGAAACAGATTATTTAAATTGAAACATAAGGTGGCTTAATCATATCATCTATATTTGCGAACTTCTCCTCTAGCTTGAGTAGTACAAAGCCCACTCCCCTAGGTTCATGGAAAGTTCATCAAGGTTCGAGCCTCAACGGAGACGAATGTATTGACTCTTTATGTGTCATTAGATTGAGAACAAGAATGAACAGATACTACATTGTAATAATCAATATCGTTCAAAAAATATCATCTATATTTGTATTTTTTTTTTACATATTTTTAAATATTTGAATTTTATATTTTATAATTTTATACGGAGTATTATTATTGTTTGAATGAGTTTATTGTACCAATACCCCCTGTAGTTTGGTAAATGTGCACCGTTGCCCCTCATGGTTTCAAAAGTTACGTCATTGCCCTTATGGTTTTAATATTGTTACACCAATGCCCTCTAGGTTAAAATATCTTTCAAATATTAAGTGAATAGCTCTGCTGCTTCTATGGTATTGGAAATGAGCACCAACGCCCCCTCTAATTTTTTTCTTTTTTCTACAAATGCTTTTTAATTTTTTTTGAAATTATTTTTATAATGTTTATTAATCAATTTTTTTTGTGTTTGTAATAGTAAATCAATTAAATAAAAATAATAAACGTACATTTCATTTGTCTCAAATTAAACTTTTTTCATTTTTTATCCAAAAGAATTCTTTATTGGTTCATTTTTATGATACAAAAATTAATGAAACATTTTCTTTTTACACTAAAGCTCATTTCTCATTTTCGTGAAGGAAATCTCTTGTATATTGGTCAAATAACTGTTATTAATATATAATTAACTATATATTAAAAAATCTTACTTAGTATTCTTTGGGTTCCGACATATTCAAAAAAATAAAAACTTTTTTAGACAAAAAAATGAAATAATTTAATTTGATAAATGAAGCATATGTTAATTTTTTTTATTTCAAACAAAAGTTTTATTATTTTTTAAAACTTTGTGAAAATATAGTTTTGAAAAGCAACTTTTCATTATTTCAAACACAAATATTTTTCTTCTTTTTAAGAAAAAAGAAAAGAAACACAATAAAAAAACAACATGATGCATTAACGCTCATTTCCAAAACCATAGGGAGCAACATAGTCACTCACCTAACATTTGAAGGATATTTTTGAGAAGCATTGACGTAACAATATCAAAATCACAAAGGACAACGACGTAAATTTTAAAACAATGAGAGATATTTATCTATCAAACCACAGAGGACATTGGTGCAATAAACTCTTATTTGAATAAATTAAATTGAAAACAAGGACACAAGCTTGATCCTTGTCTTGCATCTAGAGACCAAGAGGCGCCACAACTTAATGAAACATAAAATCATTTAAAATTGCTTAACAACCAGTAGTACATGTCTATTTTTTTTTAAGAAGATTACATTTAATCCGACAACAATGATAAGAAAAATCTGTTCAACACTACTATTTCCAGTAGAGATGGTAAGATTACAACGTTTTGATATAGACAAAATAAGGGGTTACCTAATCGGCTAATCTTTCGACAATCGGCCAGCAAGAGAAGAACGAAGCCTTTATTTTTACACTCTGTTTTGAGAGCAATTACAGGCTGGTCCTGAACTTTTTGCGGCTGTAAAACCAGATGCCGGCGGTGTTTCTGGAGCATTAGCACCACTGCTCCCTCGCAGCCTTAATCTGGATAGGGGTAACCTAAGCGGCCACCTTCTGGGTTTTATTTGACCCAATAGTTTCATCTGCTCCCTTTTGAACTTCTTGTTTGCAAACCACTTTCCTCCTCGCCAACCCAAGCCGTAGCTGCACTTGCAAAAGGAAACCCCTTATTCTCAATGAATTTCAAAGAATATTATGGAGAGAATAGAAAGGCAAATCATTAGCTTGCAAGAACAAAACATGTTTGGCTGTTAACTCCTAATAAAAAGTAATAGAGATGAGAAATATGGTTTGACAGGAATGTGTATTTGCATTTTAGTAAATCTAACACCCTTCCTTTGTGGGGGCTGTCACTTAGACAATGTACCAATACATGTGTACAACTCAAATCATGTTGACCCTTTTAATGAACTTTTTTCTTAAATGTACTATACTACAAATGCAAAGGATGCCAGAACCACATTAGATATGAAATGTAAAGACCTATATAGGAGGAAATTAAAACAGAAAAACAAATTGTGATCTATTTTTGCACAAACCCAATAATCATAGTAGTTCCAGCAGTTGCAACACATGCTGGAACGCTGATGCCGCCTGAAACAAGCTTCTTAAACTCCGGATCATTGATATCATACTTTGTTTTCACCTGCAATAAAAAAAATGTCATTACACTTTGTTTACAAATTACCTGATATATTTCTATTTGAAGCACCCCTAAAAAATTGTAGGCCTTGTGAATAAGGTCCACAGGCAATGCTGATCAAGATATGCAGTCTTAAAAAAAAAGGTTTTCATAAATTATCATTATTTTTTTTGGATGAAGCATGCCATAAAATCTTAATGAAAGAACCCAGTGGGTGAGTGTCATTATATAACTCATCTCAAAAGTATTTGTAACATTTAACATTGCATGTGATTGAGAAGGAACATGAGTTTTTTACTCCTTTTAAAAGGAAATAACTTTTTAATTGTGCCCTTTTTGATATCGTGCTTTTGGCTGATTCTTCCATGTAGATAGTATAGAGGGACAAGATAACATAAGACTTTATAAGACGCAATATGACATTAACTCATCCTCTATAAAGCAAGAGAGAGCAAAGCCAGCTGCACTACTAGCAAAACAACCAAGTAGCATGTTGCACTCCCTCAAGTTGAACTCTATTATCAAGTCTTCCGTGTTGTTTTAATCAAAATTTTGTTCAAATTCAAATTCAGAGATCAAAGCATACACAAAAATGTGTTATTAAGTCCATGGTGAAACACAAAAACACATTTACATGGATACCAATACACTGCATTTGCACATCCATTTTGAGCGAGTGCTTCACGAAAGCAAACAGGTATAGCTAATAGAGTAAAAGACTATCAATCCACCATATATACTCACAGATTTTTCTATAGAATCAAGCCGCTGGTCAATTCTTGATTGATGATATTCGCGTAATAAATAACCTGCACTAGCTCTAAATATCCTCAGTATCTCATCGGCTCAACCAGAAGACAAGAAAAAAAATTAAAAAGAAATATAGAATATAATACAGAGTATTCAGTAATATTTATCAATCAACACCAAAAAGCACCAACAATTTGTCTACATATCTTGGTCAGATAACATTTGAGGAGAACAAAATCGAATAACCAGTGAGGTGAATACCAGCCCATGCTGTTGCAACAGATGCAATTGAAGTAGATACTGTAAACACGACTTTATGGTTCTCAAATATGTCCTGCATAAAATAAATAAATCAAACCCTTCAATATCTTCTATTCCAAATTCTCAATAGAAGAGAGGGGAAAGAACCCTAACTTGCAGAGAAAGAAAAAAAATCAATTTTAAAATTAAGGAACAAAAGCAGCAGTACCTTGGTAGAAAAATACGTATCCTGGACCGCAGCCCATGAATTCTGAGCTTTTCTTCTCAACTGAGGAGCTGCAAAATAGCTCAGAATGGAGGAGCCGGTGGTGCCGAACCGCTGCCGCAATCGGAACCCTCTGTACATCGGAATCCGACTATACATATTGTTTTGGTTTATATATTGAATTCTATCGATCGATGATTGATCGATTCAAGAAAGTCTTTGATCGCGATTGAGCAACCGCTGCTATTCAGCTCAGTAGAAATCCATTGTCCCTGATTCTAAAATCTAAAAGGGTGCTTAGAGGTGATGCAGATTTTATAGCAATCCTTTGTCCAATTGTCCTTCAATATTACTCCTCGTATTATTTTTGAAAATGGCAAATTATATTATACATTCATTCAGTTGTACGTAAAATCAAGATGTTATTTATGGTATAAATTTTATTTTACATGAGAATAAACACTAAGTTATTTGAGAATGAACATTATTTTGTTTTAGAATGAACACTACATTATTTGTAGATGAACATTATAATTATATCGAACCAATGTGTAAAAATAAGTACTACGCTAATTATATTTGTGCGAGAATGAGTACTACTCTAATTCAGAATGAGTACTATCCCGAATGTAACTATCTCTAGGTACATCTGGTTGTACCATATATCTTCTCTTTGAAAATTGTCTCTAAAATATTACGAATGACATCCTATGGAAGTTAATTTTTATAGGAGTAACATTTTTTATTTCTTCTAGTTTTTTTATTTTTTCTAATTAATTTCAATCTATTCTAAATTCCTTATGTTTTTTTCAACTTTTTCTTATTTCTTTCAACAATAGCTTTTAAAAAAATTGAAGTACATATTTTTCATATTATTCTCATTACATTATTACTATTATTATTATTATTATTATTATTATTATTATTATTATTATTATTATTATTATTAGTACTACTATTATTGGTTCAAGGCATTCCTCCTCTCGTGCTTACGTTGGTGATGGTCTAGTCAGAGGCGGATCCGGGATTTTTCGACCATGGGATCTGAAGACGCATAGAAAATATCTGAGTAAAATATCTCGTAAGACCAATATACTCTACACCCCCCCCCCTCAAGGTGGACTGGGAGGAGACCGCAACAGTCCAAGCCTTGAAATCAAATCATTGTGAGCAGCCTCTCCCAATGGTTTGGTAAGAACATCAGCTAACTGCAAGCGAGATGGGACAAATGCTGTTTGCAGGAACCCTTCGGAAATCTTGTCCCGTGTGTAGTGGCAATCAATATTCAAGTGCTTTGTGCGCTCATGGAAAACTGGGTTGTTTGCAATATGTATGGCAGCTTTGTTATCACAAAACAGTGTGAGAGGTAACTGCTGAGGAATGGATAAGTCTTGTGAGATATAATGGACCCATTCCAATTCAGAAACAGTAGCAGACATCGCCCTATATTCAGCTTCTGCAGAAGACTTAGATACAGTCTTTTGTTTCTTTGTTTTCCATGAGACAAGAGCTGGGCCCAAAAATATGCAGTAGCCTGTTAAGGACCTAGAGGTCATCTTGCAGGCTGCCCAATCTGCATCACAAAATCCTCTGATGCATAAATCAGATGTAGATGGATAAAAAAGACCCATATTTGTAGTACCACGTAGATAATGAAGTATGTGGTAAGCAGCTTTAATGTGTTGGTCAGAAGGTTGCTGCATAAATTGTGATAGATGTTGGACAGCATAACTCAGATCTGGTCTGGTTAATCCCAAATAAAGCAACCTCCCAATGATTCTCTTAAAATCTTCTGGTTTGGTCAAACAAGTTCCAGACTCATGTGACAACTGGAGTTTTCTTAGTAAGGGAAACAAGGCTTGATCATCTTCTGGGACCCCTGCATCAGACAGCAAATCAAGAATGTATTTGCGTTGATTTAAGAAGATGCCAACAGATGACCTGGATATTTCCATTCCAAGGAAATATCTAGCTAGGCCCAAGTCTTTGATAGTAAATTTTTCATGTAGACTGGCCTTTATTTGTTGTATTTGTTGTTCATCATCCCCTGTGATTAGCACATCATCAACGTATACTAGAAGTGCTATGAAGTGGCCATTTGACTGTCGTGTAAACAAAGAGTAATCTCGTTTGGATTTCACAAACCCCAGAGTCAAAAGGAATCTGGATAATTCAATGTTCCATTGTCTCGAGGCTTGTTTGAGGCCATACAAGGATTTCCTCAGTCTGCAAACTTCCCCTGGTTTGGCCTTGGTATACCCTGGAGGAGGCACCATATAGACTTCCTCATCAAGAAATCCATGCAAAAAGGCATTGTTGATGTCAAGTTGGTGAAGGGGCCAATGCTTCGCAGCTGCCAAGGCAACAAGGAATCTGACAGTGGGCAATTTTGCCAGGAGAGAAGGTGTCTTTATTATCTTTTCCTGGGATTTGGTTGTATCCTCTAACAACCAACCTAGCTTTGTACTTCTCAATGGTACCATCTACCAAATATTTAATCTTGTAAATCCATTTCGGTGTAAGAGGTTTCTGCCCTTGAGGTAGGGGTGTTAGATCCCATGTCTGATTTGCCTCAAGAGCATCTAGTTCCTTCTGCATAGCAACCTGCCATTCAGGTTGAGTCTTGGCCTGAGCATAGTAATGTGGTTCTGGAACAGACATGACTTTCTGAAATGAAGTGAGAAAAGCAGTAGAATGATAGTGAAGATCAGGACACACCATTCCATGAGAAGCAGCAAAGAAGCTGTATGATTGAGATGATGAGGGTGTCTTCCCTTACGGCTGTACAAAGTCCTTTAGCCATTTGGGTGGAGCAGAAACTCGAGTGGACCTCCTTGGTTGGTTAACATGATGGTTTGTGAAAGAAGAAGATTCCTCATCATGTGTTTGCTCAGGGAAATGTGTGTCATTAGTTGAAGGAACAACATGTGTAGGATGTGTGCCAGGTAAATCACCAGTTTTGGGGTTATAATCACAATTGTCACTTGGAGTATCAGACAATGGTAAACATCCATCAGTGGAGGTGTATACAGACTGGGTTACATCCTGTGATTTGAAGGGAAAAATATCTTCCTGAAAGATCACATCTCTGTTGTGAAAAACATCTTTGGTCTTCAAATCATACAATCTGTATCCCTTTTGGGAAAAGGGATAGCCAAGAAGCACTCACTTGAGTCCCTTGTTATCAAATTTATCCTTTCTGTTGAGGTTTGCAGCATAACACTGACAGCCTATTATTCTCAACTCATCATAAGAAGGTGCCTTGTTATACAGCAACTCAAAAGGGGTTTTCCAGTTCAACCTTTTCACAGGGAGTTTGTTTATGAGATGTGTAGCAGCCAAAATACACTCCCCCAAAAAATTTTTGGGAAAATGAGCCTGTAACGCCACGAAATATGGCCTAAATTTTATTATAAAACAAAAGTAATTTTCGTCCAATAAGAAATATTTATAGGTTGACCAAAAATAAATGATTTTCAAAATAATGACTTTTTGTTAAAAACTTATTTTTATGGATATGTCTCAAAGAGACGAATCCAACGGTACAGTTTATGAACCAATCTCATTTATAGATTTCAAGTTATGTCGATTTTAAATATTAAAATTTGTAACTTTGACCCATAAAATAAACTCAATCCAAAGGTGATTTAATAAGATTATAAATCATAATTTTGACACTTGACAACACCATATTTATCATTTGGATTTAATCCATATATTTATATCTCAATCATATTATAAAATTAATTTATGACAGAGACAGACCCAGACATTAAGAAAAATAAAACTTATCAGAAAAATATTTTGATTACGTCAAAATTCTAGTTTTGACAGTCTCATTCCAAAAACACAATTCGTTTTCAATTCGGAGTAGCTTGGGCGAAAAAGCGCGTACCGTTTGGAGTAAACTGTTCAGTTTTGGCTAAAAGCCAAAACTTAATTCTCCAATATCTCCCCAAATCACGTAGCCAACCAAGGGATATCTCACAAGCCTATTTTTAAATCTCCTCCAACTCCATTAATACAAGCCTCCAAAATAATTATATAATACTCCACCACCATCTTCATCATTATACCTCATTATCATCTTCCACCACCACCACCATCATCATCTCATCTTTCCTCTCCCATTTTCTCTCTCTGTTGGTAGTTCAAGAAGGAGGAAAAACCAGCTCTAACTCCATTGTTGAGCCAAGAAAGGAGAAGGAGAAACAAGAAGAAGTATCAAGGTTTC